GGGCACAAACTGGAGCCGAGGAAGCTCCAGCTGAACCCGAGGAAGAGCTTCTTCCCTCTGAGGGTGACGGAGCCCTGGCCCAGGCTGCCCAGGGAGGCTGTGGAGTCTCCTTCTCTGGAGATATTCCAGCCCCACCTGGACGCGGTGCTGTGCAGCCTGCTCTGGGTGACCCTGCTTGGGCAGGGGGTTGGGCTGGGGGACCCACAGAGGTCCCTTCCAACCCCGACCATTCTGTGATTCTGTGTAATTCAAGAGCAGACTTGGGATTGAGGCCAAGACCTCATCTTCTTTGAGGAGGAAGAGGCAGAACTGAGCTGCTTTCACTCTGTTCCCACCAGACTCATGTTGTGTTTTGTTTCTTTTTTTTCTTTTTATTCCCTCCAGGAGGAGCAGGAATTCCAGAACAAGCGACTCGATTTTATGACCGAAAACTTAATGAAGATGCAAAAAAGTTTGAGCGACATTCCCCAGGGAGTCTTGGACTTTCTGAAGGAGCTGCTGGAATGTGCAAGGAAAGGTTTTACCTCCTGGATCAAGACCATAATAAAAGGTGGGCTGGAAGGAATGAAGTCCTCAGATACGGCAACTGAAGGAGACCACGTAGTCCTTGTTTGTCCCCGCATCCAGCATGGTGTTAGATAAATCAGACCAGAGAAATTCCTAGATTGTCTCTCTCTTATTTTTTCTTTTTTCTTTATTTTTTTCCCCCTAGACAAGACAGAAATCCCTGTCTTTGTGGAGTTGGCATCCATTTCTGCGGGGGAAAACGACATGGATATCGACAGAGTGAGCTTCTTCCGTGACGCCATGGCCGCTTCTGCCCCCATCGTGTTAGACCTGAGTCCCACAGCTGGATTTAAGGAGTTCTTTAACGCTCTGTCTTCCATTGGAGAAGCCATCGTGAAGGACAGTAAGCTTCCCAAGAAGCTGGTGAGTCTTCAAATCCCACATCCAAAAGTCACTTGGATACTTGGGCCAAGTTGTGCATGCATAAGTGTCCGATGCCATCTAAGATGGTTTCCCCGGGTCATCCATGTGGCCCTGGCAGATGTGACACAGGACCCGGGCAAAGGCTGTGCTCTTTTTGGAGCAGAAGCCTGGTGGAACATCTCAAATGACTGGTGGAACATCTCAAATGACCTCGCACCTGCGTGTGGATGACTGGAGGAGACGCAGTAGGTGTTGTGAATAGGAGGACATGAGTTCTGGAGTCTGCAGCTTAGGATCAGAGAATAGTTGAGGTGGGAAGGGACTTCTGGAGGTCATCTATTCTACATGTCCTCCTTAAAGCCCTGGGGTCAGGTAGGGCAGGTTGCTGACAGCGAAGTCCGATTGGGTCTTCAGCATCTCCAGGGTTGGAAGACTCCAGAATCTGTTTCAGAATTTGATAGAAAAAGCTTTTCTTCTGTCGAACGGCCTTACACTCTGCTCCCCACTGAAACCAGAGCGGAGGACGAGAGCTTCACCACACGTCAACGCTCTGGGGCGTTAGGATAGGTCCAGCTCTGGGCCTGTGTCTCCTCAGAAGCCACAGGAAGCTTCGTCCTCAGAAGAAACAGTCACGGAAACCCCACTCATGTCAAACCGGGAGTGGGGGAGTGGTGCTCAACATCCTTCCAGCTGGTGACTGGGTTTCCCTTTGTTTCTTCTTTCACAGAAAGATTCCTGCGACAACAGGGAGTGGATTCAGCTGGTTCACGACTCTCACGGCTCTGTGGAGCTTTCTTCGATCTCTCAAGCCAGAAGCATCAACAGAAATGGGATTTTTACCATCTCAGCACCTCAAAAATTCAAGGTAAAGAGTTTCCAAGATGGTTTCTTGCCTGGCTGGATTTTTTAATCCTGCTGGGAGAAAGGATCTTTCTTGAGGTCATCTTCCGATGTGCAACATCTCCAGTTGGGTTTGCGACTAGCACGATCTCATACCGCCAATTTTCTGCTAAGCCTTGATTATTTTCAGCAGAAAGCAGGCTTTTCTTTCCCCGAGGGGAATGGTACAATATATGAGGAGTCCTGGTGTGCAGTCAAAGCTACCTAAAAGGCCATGGCATTGGTTGTCTTCTCTGCTTCCCAGGCTACGCTCGAGGATTGTGTCTCCTTGCGCCTGCTGAATGACAGCAAGGAGAGCGCGTTTCCAGCTGGGCAGAAGGCCAAGAAATACAGCTTGTCTCAGCTCACGGAGCTCCAGAACAAGCTGATGTTGATGGCCACCAAGGTTGAGCAGGGCAGAGAGGAGGCTAACCGTTTCCTGGAGGTAAGTCGCAGCACGGCGCCGACATCTGCCTGAAAACCAGTGGCCTTTGGGCTTGGGATTTGGCTGGAATGATTTCTGGGAGGCTCATCCATGATCTGCAGTTCCGGCCTTTCACGAGCAAAGGTGTTCCTCAGGGATGACGCCCACTTCCCAAGCTATAGGAGCGGGATTTCCTTCCCTAAGCATTCTTCCTCACTTGCGGTGCCCAACAACTTGTCCAAGACCTTTCGTACTTCTCTGTGGAGGAACTCATGGAATGGTTTGGGTTAGAAAGCACCATTGAAGACCAACTTGTCCACTGCCCTGCCATGGACAGGGACATCTTTCACTGGATCAGGTTGCTCAAAGCCCCAATCAACCTCCAAAAGAGGGTTTTCAAGTACCAATTTTTATACCTTTGATAAATCTTTGGCAGACCTTGGTGAGGTGGGACTAAGTCAGTTATTAGGTGTTGACTGGCTCTTGGCATGGCACATTGTGTTGTCAGAAGCGGGAATCAGTGGTTCGGTACTCCCTCAGGGCGGGAAGCTTAGTACGTGCTTACGGGGTCTTCTGTTTTTTAACTGAAGCAACATCTGGGGGAGTGGCCTTCGTCACACCCCAGGTGCCGCCCAGGTGATAGTGGTGGGCCATCACCCATTGCTTCTGTCTGACAGGATAAGCAAAGCTCCTTGTTCAAGTCAAACATCTCCCTTTTGTTAACGCTTCGGTGCTGGACACACCAGTCCAACCAAGTCTTCCTTTGGCATCGACAAGGCCAGCAAGGCCATCGACCTGTTTCCCTGTTGCTTCCTAAAAAACAGCAGTCCCTGGCTCATCTCTGTTACTCAGAACTCCATCCCCTTCCCGAAGTCCAGTCTAAAGCTCTCTGTAGAGGTCTGGCCAACTTGTCGGTGAAGACCCAGTTGTCCCAGTTGGTCAGATGAATCTCACCATCTCCCAACAGACCCGGCTTCTCAAGGGCAGACCCAGCTCATCAAAAGTAGCCCTGGCTTCTTGAGGATAGACCCAACTTCTTGAAGGTAGACCTGGCTTTTCAAGGGTAGACCTGGCTTCTCAAGAGTAGCCCCAGCTTCTTGAAGGTAGACCTGGCTTTTCAAGGGTAGACCCGGCTTGTCAAAGATAGATCTGGCTTCTCAAGGGTAGACCTGCCTTCTCAAGGGTAGACCTGCCTTCTCAAGGGTAGACCCGCCTTCTCAAGGGTAGACCCGGCTTCTCAAGGGTAGACCCGCCTTCTCAAGGGTAGACCCGCCTTCTCAAGGGTAGACCCACCTTCTTAAGGGGAGACCCAGCTTCTCAAGGGTAGGTCCATGATCGTAGAAGCCCAGACCTTGAGTACGGCACCAGCCATGCCGCTAGACGCTCCTGGGCCTTCACTGCCTTCCCTCCTCCACACATCCATGTCTCTCTTGTACCGGGGATCCTACAGCTGTACAAATGTCTGGAAGAAAGCGTGACCCGAGCGGTGTGTGGAAGCTGCTGGGAACATGCTGCAGCACATGATCCATTTCCCTGTTGTGCCTTTGGTGTGTTACAGATACTGGAAAAAGTTGAAGCAGTTGGAAAGTTGTACCTGGAGCTTCTCGGCGTTAGCAACATCCTCTTCATCAACTGGAAGGCTGACATCTACTGCAACCCCCAGCAACATGTGAAAGTCTACACGGAGTTTGGAATTGCGGGGATCCTTGTTCAGAGCACAAGACCCCTCCTGGAGGAGCTGAGCAACCTCTCCAAAGCATTGGAGCATTGCCTGGAAGAGTGGAAGAAGTACCTGGAGACTCAGAGGGACACCTACTACCATCTCAACCTGTTCACCGCGCACCAGCTCTTCTATTTATGCAGCCAGCTGGCCAGAGTCCACAAGGGCATCGTCGAACCGCAGGTGCTCACCATGCTTTCCGTCATCAAGCATGACATCAGCGAAGAAGACATCAAAAAAGCCCTGGCGGATGCGCTGATGACTCCGCTGGACACCGTCAACACGTCGGCGGGAGGCGAGGAATCCGTCACCTGGCACGACTACATCATTCGTTTTCCCCAGCTCATCAAAAGCTTGGCCGAATCGGGCTACGACGAGTCCGTGGCAAAGGCAGCCTTGCAGAGCTGCCTGTCTGACTCACCCATCACAGAGCAGATGCTCATGGATTTCGCCTTCGAGCAGGGTGACGACAAGGAGTTGGTTGAAGAGCTCAGCAAGCTGTACGAAGAGATGAAAGAAGACTTCCTGCAGAAGAGACGGAAATTTAAGACCGGGAACCGAGATGCTGACGAGGTTTCCTTCAGCAGCCTGGCCGACGAGGAGTTGGCTGCCTCCTTTGAGAGCTTGCCGTCCATTTACGACAAGGTGATTCTGCTCTGGGATGCCTACTGTAAGAAATTCGCTGGACTGGTGTCTGATAAATACATAGGCTTGGATGTCTTCGGGGAATTGCTGAAGCGCTTGGCTGCTCTAGAAAGCACGTGCGTGGAGAGAAGTTTACCCGTCGGCTTCGAAGAGAGAAAACCAATTCTTGTCATGTGCAAGGAAGAGGAAATGTTACCCAACATGTTATTCGTCTACCGGCACACTGAAGCGGCGCCTCTCCCATCGTACGACGAGGTCCTGGTGTGCACGCCGGACACAGAGGAGGAGGAGGTGGAGCTGCTTGTCAGGAGAGCTCTTTCCCCAGGTTCCCGGGACCAGAAGATCTACTGTTTGCTGGGCGCTGACAAATTAGTTTATAAAGTTTCCAAACAACTCGAGTTTCACTTCTTCCGCCTGGTGCAATCTTCCAGCATCCCCAACTACAGATTCATCATCTTCTGCAACGCCAAAGCTCACAACTCCTACGTTATCACGGCCTTCGATGCCTACAAGGTGACTTTCCCGTGCTACTCTGAGACAGAAATCCAGACCTACCTGAAGATGCACCTCAAAGTGCCGAGCGGCACAGCCCCCGTCGCTCAAGCCTTCGACGAGCCCCACCAGCAGAATGTGAAGTTTGTCTTTTCGGAGAAAGTAGGAATGGGTAAGTTTCTGGGGGAGTCGTAGTCCGAGTTGTACCTCAAACCGAGGAGGCAAGGTGGCACACTGTGCTTCTGGGGAGAGATTTCCTTGTTTTGGGTCGCATCCAAGTGTAGAAGGGCAGAGGCTTGACAAGGGTCTTTTCCACTCCTTAGGGAAGTCTCTCTTTGTGGACAACACCATCGGCAAGGTCTGTGCCCAGCTGGGTGGCACGCTGCTGCTCCACAAAACCATCAGGCTGATGGAGTCGGACATTGATTACCAGTTCTTGGTGGAGGAGCTTTTCTCCGTCAACCAATCCGTGACCGAAATTCAGCCCAGCGTCTTCCACATCGACGTGTCTCCAGTGGTGAGTGCCTGGATCTTAGAGCAGACAAGAAGAGGTGGTGAAACACGGCAGACTCTACACACAAGGAGGGAGAGAAGGGGGTGGAAACTCAAATCCAGCCCAATCCGAACAGCAAGCGTCTTTTGGCAGGCTTCTGCGTCGATTTTCATTTGGTTTTCTTCCCCTGCCAGGTATCGAAAGGTCTCTACCGGCTGCTGATCCACCTGTGTATCCTGCGGCACATCCAGAGTCCCGACGGCTTGGTCTGGAAGTGCAGACCCTCTCATCTTTACCTGATTGAGTACCTGGCGAAGGGGAAAGGTCTCAGCAGTACGAGGAAGCAGGAGGTATTGTGGGGGGGAAGTTCTGTGCTTGGGTGGAGGAACCATTAAGGCTGAGCATGAGTCCATCTGCTAAACTCCAACGTCTCCACCGACGCGGTGCATGGCTTAGAGTCTGCCCCTCCAGTGGGGCAACGTCTCACCTACGTAGCAGGAACCAGGCCAAGCATGTCTCTAGTCCAAGGGAAACATCAGGCCCTGCGCTGAGTTTTGGAGGAAAAGGGGAGTTTTTTCATCCCCAGTTTTGCTATAACTTGAAACTCGCGTGTGGTTTCAAAGCTGATCTGCAGCTGAGCCATGCTTTGGAGTTACCGAAGGTGTGAAACGCACCCCAGACTCACTAGCGGTCGATCATTCATCTGTGGTTCCTCACCATACCTTGAATATTCGCCGAGTTCAGGTCCCTCCATCTCCAAAAGGATTTTTTGGAGCAGGAGAAGGTGTAGGGGAAGGTAACAAGATCGCCCAACCCGAGACAGACCTTAACGGTTGTAGGGATTTCAATCCACATGAAGGCTTGGAAAAATCTTGGTGTTTCTACATGTTTTCCAAACCTGCTAAACCGTTTTTTTGACCAGGGGGAAATAAAAATAAAAAAGGATTTGGTGATGTAGGCGGATGTGGGAGGATGGGGAACAATCCTCATGGTGATTTTGTGTCCTCTCACTTTTAGATGTCCATTGAAATGGAAGAAAAATTTCTGGATCTTTTTCCTACCGTGGAGTGTGTATCGCCGCTGCGCGTGCTCGACTTGCTGGGACACGGCAGCTCTGCCCCTCCTGCAGAACTGAGGGAGGAATGGTTTGACCAGGGCAAGCTAAAGAGCGAAGTTTTCCAAAGGTCCTACCAATACCTCAGCAGGTACAAACGGAAGGAAAACCTTGACCATTTCACTTTCGTCCCTGGAAAGATCGAAGGGACAGAGAAAGAATGCCTGGAGTGCTTGATGGAGTTCTGCGAGAGGAGCAACCCCTCCTGGACTGAGGTCAGCAACTTCACGCACTTCTTGAACTTCCAGCTAAGAAAGTGTGAGAAATCAGTCTTCTGCAGCCCGGTAGTCGGAACGCAGTTCGCTGGCTTCAAAACGTTCGTCGTCAAGTTCATGATCGCCATGTCCAAGGACTTCGCCATGCCTTCCCTCGACATGTCCGACGAAAGCGTGCCGAGCGAGGAGTGGAAGGAGGTGGACAGCGTTTTGAGGAAGTACGAGCTGAGGCGCAAGTGGGAGCAGGAGTCTCACCCTTACATAGTCTTCCACGCCGAGGATGATTCCATGGAGTTTTTAGGTTTTCACATCAACCAGAACTACGACGCGATCGACGCTTATACCCAGGCTGTTTTGGAGAAGGCGGTTATGAGTAAGAACTTATACACCACCTTGGCGTACCAAAACGTTCCTTTCAATAAGAAATTCGAAGCCTTATCCAGAACCGAGCAGTTGGAGGCCCTCTGCAGAGTCTTCGGTGTGAAATGCCGGGAGGATCCTGATCCTTCCTACCAGTTGACTCTGGACAACACCATGAAGATGCTGGCCATTCACCTGCGGTTCCAGTGTGGGATCCCTGTGATCATCATGGGTGAAACTGGTTGTGGGAAGACAAAGCTGGTGGAGTTCATGTGCAACCTGCAAAGGGCAGGCAGGGACATTCCGAATATGATAGTGGTGCGTGTTCACGGCGGCACCACCTCCAAGACCATCCAGAAGAAGGTGATGCAGGCCATCGAGCTGGCATGCACCAATGAGGAAGAGCACAACATAGACACGGTGCTCTTCTTCGATGAAGCCAACACCTCGGAGGCCATCTTCGCAATCAAAGAAGTGCTGTGCGACCACAGCGTCAACGGAAAGCGGATTTCCACAGGCCGCTTGAAGGTGGTGGCCGCTTGCAACCCTTACAAGAGGCACACCAAGGCAACCATTGAGAAACTGGAGAAAGCTGGCTTGGGATACCGTGTCCGGAGTGAAGACACCCCGGAGAAGCTGGGTTACATTCCTTTGCGCCAGTTGGTGTACCGGGTGCAGCCCCTTCCTCCCAGTTTATTGCCTCTGGTCTGGGATTTCGGGGAGCTGAATGAGAAGACGCAAAGCCTGTACATCCGGGAGATTGTGAAGTCCACCGTGGAGACCGAGATCCCTGCGGGGAACCTGGACATCTTCACCGATGTCATTTCAACTTCCCAGAAGTTCCTGCGAGAGAGGAAGGACGAATGCAGAGTCGCCAGCCTCCGGGACATAGATCGCTGCATGAAGATAGTGTTGTGGTTTTACGACTTGAGAGACCTACTCTTCCACGAGATTGACGAGAAGAGGAGGAGGAAGGAGAAAGAGGAACCAACCTTAAACGATGCGCAAAGGGCTTTGGTCCTTTCGGTAGGGGTCTGCTATTACGTGTCTCTGGAGAGCCGCCAAGAGTATCTAGAGGAGGTAGCAAAATGCTTCTCGGTCCCCGCATCCCAGCTGCAGCAAGAGATGGAGTTGTGCCAGGAGGTGTTTCTCGATAACCTCTCCATTGGTAAGGCGACAGCCTGCAACAACGCTCTGAGGGAGAACATCCTCATGATGGTTGTCTGCATGGACCTCCGAGTGCCGCTTTTTCTGGTTGGGAAGCCGGGGAGCTCCAAATCCCTCTCCAAAACCATCGCCGTGAATGCCATGAAAGGCACGTTGTCTGAAAAAAAGTTGTTCAAAAGGTGCAAAGAGATCCAGCTGGTCTCCTTCCAGTGCAGCCCCCACTCGAAACCAGAAGGCATCATCTCCACCTTCCGACAATGTGCCCAGTTCCAGAAGGGCAAGAATCTGAAGGAGTTTGCCTCCGTGGTCCTGCTCGACGAGATCGGTCTTGCAGAAGACTCGCCCGATATGCCGTTGAAGACGCTGCATCCTCTGCTGGAAGATGGCTGTGTTGACGATGAGAAGCTGGAGGCCTACAAGAAAGTTGGCTTTATGGGCATCTCCAACTGGGCCTTGGACCCTGCCAAAATGAACCGGGGCCTCCTCGTCTTTCGGACGGAACCTAGCGAGGAAGAGCTGGTGAAGACGGCCAACGGCATCTGCGCTGACCAACCTCACCTGGAGATGATCAAACACTTGTTCCCCATCCTGGCCAATTTCTACTGCAACGTGCTGAAAACACAGAAAACAGAGTTCTTTGGGCTTCGCGACTTCTACAGCTTAATCAAGATGGTTGTGTACTACACACAGGGCATGAAGCGCAGTTCTCAAGAGGAGGTCCTCGTCAAAGCCATTCAGAGAAATTTTGGAGGCTCCAGCGAAATCCATCCGCTGGAAATCTTCCGTAGCTGCGTCAGCGAGGTGCGCCTCAGCCACTTGAAGGAAACCAGCTGCATCCGTCTGCTGGAGGAAAACATAGACAAACGGCAAGTGGGGTTCATGTCTCGTTACCTCCTGTTGCTGACGACCAACAACTCCGCCTTTCAGATCATCCAGATGACGCGGCTCATAGATGCTGGCAACTGCGACATTATATTTGGCTCCGGTTTCCCACGGGACCAGGATTATTCCCAGGTGTGTCGCTCCGTGAACAGGGTGAAAATTTGCATGGAGATGGGCAGGCCCGTTGTCCTCCTCAACATCCAGAACCTCTACGAGAGCCTTTATGATACCCTCAACCAGTGCTTCGTCAGCCTGGGGGATAATTACTACGTTGACCTGGGCCTCGGCACTCATAGGGTGAAGAGCCGCGTGAAGGAGGAATTCCGGCTGATTATTATAGAGGAGAAGAATGTGGTCTACACACAGTTCCCCACCCCTCTGCTGAGCCGTCTGGAGAAGCATTGTTTGGACATGAACACCATCCTCAGCTGGCAACAGCAAGACCTGAAGCGGGACCTGGAGAATTGGGCCAGTTGGTTTGTCGACATCGAGAACCCCGATTCCTTAAGGGCCTGGTCCCAGGCGCTCGCTCCCAAGGAATGCGATGTCTTCATCGGCTTCAGCGACGACACGTCCGCCGCCATTGTGCTGGAGAGCTCCCAGCACCTCCACTGCCGAGGCTACGAACCCTACGGAGATCCGGTCTTCGCCGCCGCCACAAGCAAACTGGTGGAGTGTGCCACTCCTGACTCCATCCTGCGCCTGAAGTACTCCACTCTGAAGGACGCTAAGCAGATCCAGGAGCTGTATTTCATCAAGCAGAAGCACAACAGCCTGGCCAGCCTCCTACACGAGATGATGAACCAGCAGAAGGAGCAAGGGAGCACCGCCGGGCTGTGCCTGCAGGTACTCGTTCTTGGCTGTGAAGCACCCAAGGGTGCTCTTTGCTTTCCAGGTGAGAGTGGTGGCCCCGTGATCTTGGTTAGGCCAGGAAGATATCTGGCTTACCTCCACCTTCTTTGCCTCCACGGCCATCTGCAGCCAGGGTAGACCTCCCAGGGATCTTCTCGGCTCTGGCTCAGCTCTCGGCTGAGATACTCAAGGCCCCTTCCAGTTGCCTGCAGATGAACACTGAGCACCAATGGAGATGCCCTGGAGGATCCCACCTGCTTGAGGTGCCAGGACAACCGGTTTTGATTTCCCTTTTTTCCTCAGGTCTCTACTCATGCCAGACTGCTAAACCAGAAGGATTTGGAAGTGCTGAAGAAGACGCTGAATCTCCCAGATACCATCCACTGCCTCTTCCTAAGCCAGTTTGACACTGAACACGCTTTCCGCCAGGACCTCAGGTGGGCTCTGACGCTTCTTTTCTTTAACCTTGCAGGTGATTTCTGCTTCGTGCAGTGTTTTGGGACGGGATTAGGGGAGACCTTTCTAGGAGGGAGCATTAAAGAGGCCGTTTCATTGCAGGGATCTCTTCAGAGAGCCTCAAGAAACGAGATTGCTCCTCGTTCAGTTGCATTTTGACGAGCCGCAGAGCAGCAAAAGGCTCCTGGCCTGTGCCAAGTAAGAGCTCTCCTCCTGCTTCATCTTGCTTCATCCTTCTTCATGGAATCACAGAGTGGTTTGGGTTGGACGGGACCTTGTAGATCATCTTGTTCCAACCCCCTGCCATGGGCAGGGACCCCTTCCACCAGATCAGGGTGCTCAAAGACCCGACCAGCCTGGCCTTGAACCCTGCCAGGGAGGGGGCAGCCACAGCTTCTCTGGGCAACCTGGGCCAGGGCCTCACCACCCTCAT